CACCACTGTACATCATGGATGCAATCAAAGACACTATTGTTGAATTAGGGCCAAAATGCAAATTAACACCTGAAGAAAGACAATACAGATTACAAAAGAATCTAGAGAAGTATCCTGAATACTTGGATATTTCAACAAATAAGTTTCCAAATAAGGTGGTTACAATTTATCACTACATGGAATTTGAGATTAGAAAGGCTAACCTGAAAAGTCCAATTATAAAATGTACGAGTACAGACAATAAAATAATGATCCATGACCTAGAAGAATATGAGAGGAATGCTAAGAAAACAACAAAAGAGAAAGTACATGAGAAAGCATATGAAATATCTGATGAAGATAAGAAGATATTGATGAGATACAAGATATTAATGGGTGTATTCTTGACTAGTACAGTAATACTCATGCTACTGATTGGTGGAATTGCAGTATTGAAGAAACGAAAGAGTAAGAAAAAGAAAGGAATGAAAATACTGTTGGTTGATGCAGCTGGAAATGATGAAGATGGGACAGAGACAACATATAAAGACATCAAGGTATGAATAAATTCAAAGAAGAATATTTTTTACAAATCATGTAAAACAAGATGGTTATTCATTTTTTGGATTTAATCGTTATTATTGGTTATGAATGGATGTTTTAGTAACTTAGATATCGACCATCTGTTTCTAGGATTTACCTGCATGGAATTGTCCAAAAAATTCTTCAATTGTTGATCTGTTCCATCAGGAACTGTGTATGGAAATGGTACACCATAGTTATATTTCACAGAATCATCAATACCCTCACCATAATACCATTTTGCGTGATCAAAAAATTTGTCATTCACGTCTTCATCTTCATACCATATGAATCCACACAACAAATTCATTCCCACCATCCATACATCACTCTTCTTGTTCAATTCACCATACAATATTAATTCAGGTGAATTATGCCAAATTGCCTCATAATTGATTTTCTGGATCAAGTCCCTTTTTTTCCCCATTTCAGTTTAAGGTCCCTTTTTTTCCCCATCGGATTTTAAGGTCCCTTTTTTTCCCCATGGAGTTTTAGATCAAGTCCCTTTTTTTCCCCATGGAGTTTTCTTAGTAAAAATAAAAACATGAATTAGAGTGATTTATTGGATCCTAAGAAGCTCAAATAATGCTATCAAGCCCATTCTTTTCCCAGTATTGTGCTTCCACATGAACTCACACAACAGTTCATCCAGTTTAACACCAAGAATGCCTTTGTGCATCTTGATGTTGTACTTGCACGT